CCCCACCAATTTTCCAGCTGCCTATCAACCTAACCCCTGCCCTGTCCTTTATACACACCCTACCTGTCCTTGCCAGCAGCCCCAGGGCTGACTAAATCTCCAAATCCCTGCCCTGTGGTGGGGCCTCACCTTAATGTTCTAGCTCTTTCTCTCTCTGCACACCACCAGGCACCCTCTCTGGCACCCAACACCCACAGTGCTGCCTCTCCCAATAGATCCCTGGTTGTAGGCAGGTGGCAATGTCTCCAGGGAAGGCGAACCGGTTAAGGTAATCCATCTCCCTTTGCTGCGGATTAAGAAGGGTGTGATTCTGTTTGGGGCGTATCAGGAAAGAGAAGCAGCCGCCTCCCCTTTCTTCCTGAGGCTCTGGTAGCCGGGAGGAGGAACTAAGAGCAACAGCCACCTCTGCGGGACAAGTAATGCTGACAACAGAGCATGAAGAACAGAGGCGCCTGGGTGGCTCGGTCAGTTAAGCATCTGGCTCGATCTCAGCTCAAGGCATGATCTCATGTCATGGTTTGTGGGATCCAGCCCCTTGTTGGGTTCTGCACCGGGCCTGCTTGGGATTCTCTCTCTCCCTCTCTCTGTGCCCCTTCCCCCCTCTCTCAAAATAAATAAACGTTTTGGAAGAAAAACTGTCAAGGCAAAACCAACACTTAAAAAAAAAAGCATGAAGAATGCCTTGATGACGTTGTTCCCTGAAACCATCCACCTGCAGACTTTTGGTTCAGTACGAGATAAACTGACCTAATTGTTTCAGCCACTTGTAGATCAGTATCGTGTTACTTGAAGCTGATAACTTCCTCCTTAATACATCCACTCAGGAGACAGACTGGGTGACTTAAAGTTCCCCATACACGTTCCACGCTGTCTCACCTCTGCACTTCTTGTCTGCCGGTCCCTTTCCCTAGGATCCCCTCCAAATGAATTCTCACCTCTCAAGGGCCAACAAGGGTGTCTCCTGCCCCAAGAAGCCCCCCTCTCTGCCAAGCCAGAGCATCCTGGCCCTTTTGCCAAACACTTGATTCGTATCTCTCTCAAAATACAATCTGTCTTCAACTATGGGGCTTTTTGTTTTGTTTTGTTTAAAAAAAATTTTTTTTTCAACGTTTTTTTATTTTTGGGACAGAGAGAGACAGAGCATGAACAGGGGAGGGGCAGAGAGAGAGGGAGACACAGAATCGGAAACAGGCTCCAGGCTCCGAGCCATCAGCCCAGAGCCCGACGCGGGGCTG